ATGAACTTTTTTGATTTTAGCAAATGGCTGCAATGAAACAAAGAGTGAAAAAGTTAAAGGGGTCTGAATACTTTCTGTACCCACTGTGTATGTTAATTAAAAATACGTAATTCTCCCCATTTTCTTTACCCTCATTAATAATTTGTATACAGCTCCTAAATACACAAACTTATACAAATCCTGCTGTAACCAACTCTTTATTGCAACCATCATACCAACAGCGTGTTTATTATTAATACACATGGTTTAAAAAATAACGCTTACTTGATAAACATGCTGCAGTTATATATAAATGTCCCAAGCTTGAAAATGATTTAAAATATTCTGTTTTGATGTGTATTTCTCGATCTTGGGTGTAAGACAGATTTGCGAGTGGCAGCGTAGCTTGCTCTGTTCTGCACCGTGGCTGCATAATACCACAGCAGGGCATCTGTGACTTCTCCACAAATCAATAACACATAAATGTACAGGCTGCACCACTACTTTCTATAAAGGAAACAGTCTGTTTTTTTTGCTGACAGAAGTAAAAAAAAAAAAAAAAAAAAAAAAAAAGCTAGAACAACATTTCAAAGCCTGTGTTCTTGTTTATCTCTATGTGCTCCTGTCACCATGGCACTTAATGGCTGCTGACACTGCCTGCACACACACACACACACACACACACACACACACAGACAAACACACTAATTATGTTTAACAAAAAAATTGACTTTATCAGTCCAAAATTAATCAGGTTGCTGGGTACATAATCTCAGTCCCGTGAAGGGAGCCTGCTGTTTTCTTCTGCTCCAGTCTTTTCCCCTGTAATGACTGACTCTAACTCTTTTATAATAATAATATAAATTCATAGCTATTGATCTACAATGTGCCATTGCTGTGTCTTTTTTTGATGGCTAAATTACTTGACCGCATCTTGTACGTGTATTTATGGAAACTAATAATAGCCTTTGCCTATCCAGGAGTAGGAAGATACCACACTTCACACCCAAAGGTTGAATGGACCAGGCTGATATACTATACGTGGCTTGGTGTGTGATTGTTAGATAGCGATGTGATGTGACAGCCAGCAGACACTCTATCCTGCACTGTGCTTCAGCTCCGACAGCCTCAGAACAGGTAACTTAAAACCTTATTTCCTCTGCACATGTGTTTTCTTGTAGTTCCTCTCCTGTGTAATGATGCATGCGGGGAAATATACTGGCAACCTGGAGGAATAAAATATCAATATATACTATACAGTACGTATTTCTTTTTTCTCTGACCTTTCAGAAGTTATGAAGTATACAAGCTCATACCACAACAGGTGCTGTGCACAAAATATTGCAACCTCAGAGCAGATATAAAACACATACAATAACAGCAGCAACATAAAACATAAAATGACTACAAGTGCAACAAGTATGATAATTCAACTGATACAAGCTGATATGTCATTGTATTAAAAATTATTTGTTTGGATTAAATCAATCAGCAGAAGCTGATAGGAGTCTGCTTGTCTTGTGTGATCGAAACAAAATCAAACATGTATCATCATGACTCCATTCTTATGCCAACCCCAACAACAAACCCACTTTAAATCGTGTGCACTCTGTATTTCCTGCCATGAATGTGATGGGTTCAGAGAGGCAGCGTAATGCTTCCCAAGGTTTCCATTGGGATGATGAGTGATGCGAGTAATCATGGTGTCTGTACAGACTAATCATGAGTGATTCTCCCCAAGAGGAGAAGAGAAAACATAAACAACAGCAACGGCAGCATTTTGTTATTGTCGGCTACTGTATGTCCAGACCCATTTCTCTCTCTTTTACTACACATTACCACCTCATCTCAAAAATGTGTGCTGAGAAAGATATGGCTCATCATATACACTCAGTCTGCTGCCATTACAGAGAGCACCGCCCCTGCACTCATACATTACAGTATTTTTAGTCCTCTTCATTAGGGGGATAGATTGCCCTCTAATCTATCCTTGTGTTTTATCATAGCTCAGCAGTAGCAGGTGTCATATACTGTTCTCCCACCCATCTGTACCTGAAATTAAACGTAGTGAATTTACATCCTGAACTGCTGTGTAAGTCATTTCATGCTGGCAGGGTGTGTGCTGTCCCACTTGTGCTGTTCTCGAGATTGAGTGTTGTGATCAGGGCTTCAGTGTCAGACTATACAGGCTAAATAACTGTAGAGACCAGAATTTACTGTTGAGTCCTCTGGAGGTGTTGTGGGCTGAATTCAATGAAACTGAAGGGAAATGTCTGTTTGATAACCCCTGCGACCTCTCCGCCCACACCGCCTCCCTCTCCTATTCACCCACTAAGGCACTCACCCTTAAATATCTTTATTTAAATAGTACTCTTATCTGTTACATCAGTTCCTGGTGTTTATGCAAACACCTATCAGAAGCTCTATATTTAACACCCTAAACTAGTTGATGTTAGTCACTCATTTGCTTCCGTTTGGTCTGATTTCATCTGGAGAAAAACTGAAGGAACTCAGACTAAAATGACTTTCTTGCCCTTTTTATTTGTCTGGCTTTGTGTCTACATCCATGCTAGTGGGTCTGTGAGGCTGTACAAAGTGCAACATTCAAGGGGTTCATCCCTATGTTCACAGGCATGGGTGTTGCAGTTAAAATTGCAGAAGAACAAAAGGAGAGTGACATTTTAAATACAGCTTGAATTGTAAAAATATGTTCAGAATCCATGGAGATATCAATGTGGTATCAACTGCCTGCAAATTCAAGGGTGCTGGTTTCAAGGAGTGCAACATCAGTAGGCTATAGTGGTATACAAAACACAGTTTTGGTCTGTAAACATGGTTATGTCTGCTGTAAAGTTGGGCATTTTAACATGGGGCCTTATGGAGAATTGACTCTTCTGTAGCCAGCAGCAAGTGGTTGTTTGAGCTGATTTTGTTACTTCAGTTGGTTTCATTTGGTAGCCATGGAGGTTACCGCTCGATGATAACTCACATGTAAGGGTGCTACAAAATTCTTATTACCAGTAAAGTAGAGGTAACTATAGCTGGATATGAACAACAAAACTGATAACAAGGAGAGTCTACAGCCATGCTAGTGGCTCTGCGAGGCCATTTAAGTACAGTAGTGATTTGAGATAAATGCTATAATATGCTAACATGCTCACAAGGACAATGCTATGGAGCTGATCTCAAGCAGATATGATTTTTACTATATCCATCTTAATTTAGTGTGTTGGCATGCTAACAATTCCAAATTAGCACTAAAGGTATAACTGATGCTGATGGGAATATCATTAGCTTTGCAAATATTTGGTTATAAACTAGCCTGGGAACCAGACGAATCTGCAAGCTCATATTTTATTTGCTCTGGCTGATGAGTCTGGTCCTCCTTTCCATTTAGACAGATTTCCAAGTTGTGGGTCTCTGTGTCCAGAGACATTTTGGTCTTTGGCCGTTGATAACGGCTAGCATGGCTTAAAACTCTTGTCTTGTTGAGAGTTATGCTCACCTTTGGATAGCCAGAAAATCTAATCAGAAAATTTAAGCAAACACCCCCATTAATGAAAGAGAAATGAGCTGGCTGAACTCCCAAAATGAGCCACATAATTTTAATTACTGCTCTCCATCTTAGGAAGACACGCACAATCTATCTTTAGAAAGAACAGTAAAGAGGGAGGCATCAGAGCCTTTGTTCTTCTGACTGTCCCAGCTTTGTGCTGGGATGATGGTGGTTGCTTAAAGGCGGATTTTGTAAAGGTCACATAGCAGAGTGCATAAAGGCTGCAGTTAGGAACAATATTCAGACACAGCCACAGGAGGATTTTAAGGTGTCTGTCTTCAAATAAACAATTACCCCTGAGAAACGCTCACAAACAGACTGGACACTTACACATGCATGCGCCAGTTTCAGCAGACATACACAATCACATGCACCTGCATGTTCCTAATGGTTTCCGATGCGCACAGTAATGGAATACAGACAAAAGACAGCTACAGATAAATGGGTGCTTTGATGAAAATTGTGAAAAGACACACCTGCTTGGCATCAAAAGTCAAACATTTGTGCAATTAAGGATTTACACAACATGTTGTCAGCTGAAGCGGTCAGGCATACCCTTCTGGAAATTCAATGAATTTAATGGCCAAAAGAAATAAAAATCATGTATGTTACAAACCAGCATTGAAACTCTTTCATCCAGGGATGAGAAATATTTCATGTTTTATCCAGCTTAACATGAGCAGCATTGATTAAATATTGACCCACGGTAATCTTAAATGAATGTGCCTGTATGTTTGTACACCTGCATCAATGTGTTTGCTCATACAGATGTAATTAATACCAACACAATTACCCAGGCAGTGAATGTAAAGGGTATAACACTACATATCCACTTCAAAATCCACACTTGATTGCTGCTATAGGCTATTAAAACCATCTTAAATATTTAACCAGCCTTGTTACTGGCAGGTAATTGCATCACTCCTGTGCTTAAGGTAATTTTGTGAAGGTGAGAACAGCCAGTTCCCCAAACACCGGCCACAGGCCACGGAGAGTGGGAGAAGAAGTACCTTGGGGTTGAAGGCAGGAAGCAATAAGAGGAACTGCTCAATAAAGGCATGTCTAATTGAGCTGTGAAGCAACAAGGATGAGGGATGTTCAGATTGGGTTTGACTGACATTGTCTGATGGGTCGCTGGGTGGCAGGTGGAATATTTTATTTATTAATTTATTTGAAGGCTTTTATCCAAAATAACAGCCTGCAAAAATAATTAAATAAATAAAATGATGTGATGGAGCATTATTATAAGCTGGAGCTAATTGAAGCACTTTGACAAATGGTTTCCCTTAAGGCAGGGTAAGAGCTGGGCAGGAAAACAGTTTCCTCACATCATACATCGTGCACCAGTGCGCTTTGCCTAAGGGAGCGCGCAAACAGACACACACACACACACACACACACACACACACACACACACACACACAAGAGAGAGAGAGAGAGAGAGAGAGAGAGAGAGAGAGAGAGAGAGAGCCTCACTACTAATTTGCCGCGTCCAGTCTCCGTGCGCTCTTCTGTAGGCTAGCTGCTTTGGAAAATCTCCTGACTTTCTCCCCTGAATTTTAGAGATGGAGTTCCCCACTTTTCCTCCCGACGCTCTCGGTGATTTTAACGAGCGCTTCTCGGTCTCCATAACTCCTTTCAACGTTACGTTCTCCGAGGATCTGCTGCGTGTGCCTTCAAGTAGTAATGAGACCAACCGGGCTGCGAGCAGGGACACTTCAAGTCTCATCATCGCCGTCTGTATCACGGCTCTCTACTCTCTCATCTGTGTGGTGGGACTGCTGGGAAACGTGCTTGTAATGTACGGGGTGGTCAGGTAAGGAATATATGATGAACAAAGAACAATAAACTTATTAATAATAATTTAAAAAAAGACTATTGAAAATGGAGGAAAGAAATGTTATTTGTCACCAAGTTGATATTTATTATTATAATACTGGCAACATACATAAACATGATATATGATAATATAATATAAGACCCTGAAATTATAGCATGCATATTATTCAAAATTACCTTAAAGCTCCCTACAAACAGCTCAATTGAGGGAATATTTTATTTGATGCATAAGAGTAATTTTTAAGAATGTAAATATAAAGAATACATTTTCAGAGCTACCTCATTTTCTGATGGTCCTTTGTAATTGCCCACACCTTCAGTGTGTCTGAGAGGTGCTCTCTAACACCCACACACACAAACACACAAGAGGGGAGGGAGGGCGGTGTGATCTCGCTTAGCATTGAAATTACTTCACTGCACCAATTATTGTTGTCAGGAATGATGGTGTAAACTCAGATGATTGATTTGATAGCATGTTGAACCTCACCTCAATCAATCAATCAATGACTGTGGTGCTGCGTCTTACTAATTCAGCATTTGAGATTTTGATAATTTCCTGATATGTTGATTTGTGGTTGAACTAATGCAGCTTAAATGAGAAAACAATGGCAGTGATGGGTGTGCCTCCAGGGTCTTAAATCACTGGTGAAATATGAGTTTCTCCACTTTGGTCTGTCAATTTCAGAATAATGAAACAAAGTGAATGTAAAAGACATTATGCCCACCCTCTCCCTGGAAAAGCAATTACAGAGTGAGATCAGTACATGGTGTACAGTGTAGTACATCTCTTTACGTGGGGGATTAAGATAAAAGGTGAGACATCCTTTTGTCTTCCCTCATCCCTTTAGACTCTTTAGCAGCGATTTAATTAAATGTGACCAACTACTGTCACATCGTGGAGGAATCCGTCTTTAAACAGCCAGACAACTGTTGCTGGCAGACTGGTCACTGCTACTACTCTATAAATCTGAAATCAGGGAGGAGTTTTCTGCGACTCATTACATAGAAGTGCAGTTTAATGGAAGCTTACAGTCACTTTGAGCATTGAGGCTTTCATACATTTAGTGTAGTGCCATAAAAATAAACATTATGCATCTAAAAAGCTCTTTATTAGTTTGATGTTTTTCGAGAGGAAATAACAGATCATTGGTTTGAGAAAGGAAATTGATTAGGTTATACAATAAATTGGTTTCTAAACTTGAAACTTTTTAATGGAAATCGTGAGTCAGCCACACTCGGCGTCTTCTCTTCGACAGTAGAGAGACCTTGAAAAAATCTCCTCCAACTAAAAGCCGTTTTTGTTGAGTGTGAGTCAGAATCACCTAAATGTGCTCAGAGCTTTTCTTCCAACCAACCAGGTACACCAAGATGAAGACCGCCACCAACATCTACATCTTCAACCTGGCTTTCGCCGACGCTCTTGCCACCAGCACCCTCCCCTTCCAGAGTGCCAAGTACCTGATGAGCACATGGCCCTTTGGGGAGCCATTGTGCAAAGTGGTCATCGCCATTGACTACTACAACATGTTCACCAGCATCTTCACACTCACCATGATGAGTGTGGACCGCTACATCGCTGTTTGCCATCCGGTGAGGGCCCTGGACTTCCGCACGCCTGCCAAAGCCAAACTCATCAACGTCTGCATCTGGATCCTCTCCTCTGCCGTCGGAGTCCCTGTGATGATCATGGCCATTACCAAGGTGACAGATAAAGGTAAGAGATTTTTATTGCAGAAGAAAAACAATGCTTGAAATTACCCCCATTGTATAAATACTTAAAAGCACAAGCTTTTTCGCACTGGCAAGTGTTCAGGGAGTAATCATGCTGTAAAAAACACATAACACAAAGAACACATTTGAGCTGGGTTATTAACTTAAATTAGCCTCTCCACATGGCCCTCTATTAAACTTCTAATTGATTTAACTCCTCAGGAAACACTGCCTGCGCACTCAGATTTCCCAAACCAGAGTGGTACTGGGACACAGTGATGAAAATCTGCGTGTTCATCTTCGCCTTTGTGGTTCCCGTCCTGGTCATCACCATCTGCTACGGTCTGATGATCCTGCGGCTCAAGAGCGTTCGCCTGCTGTCTGGCTCCAAAGAGAAGGATCGGAACCTACGACGGATCACCCGCATGGTCCTGGTGGTTGTGGCGGCCTTCATCATCTGCTGGACTCCCATCCACATCTTCATCATCGTCAAGACCATGGTGGTTATTGATCACAAGAACCTTCTGGTGGTGGCCAGCTGGCATCTGTGCATCGCGCTGGGCTACACCAACAGTAGCCTCAACCCCGTGCTGTACGCCTTCTTGGATGAGAACTTCAAACGGTGCTTCAGGGATTTCTGCCTGCCCTATCGCTCACGCCTGGAGCAGAATAGCTTCTCTAGAGCGCGTAACAGCACGCGGGAGCCTGTGTCTGTTTGTGCTCCTGCGCCAACAGAGAGACCACCGGCCTGACTAGGCATGGATCAGTGGGAGGGGAGAACAGTTCAAGATGACCTCCAGACTGAGGTCACACAGTTTTCCACCACAGGAGTCTGAGTCTGCAGATGTATTGATCTACCATTTATGTAAATGATCGATTGTGTTTTTGGTTTTATATAATGAAACTCCTTTGTCCCAATAGGTTCGTGAGACACAGTTCTTTGAGGATTGTCTTTGGATGATCACAAACACGCCTGTGCTTGCCTGTGCATTAGGAAATTCAAGTGTACACACGTGAATAAAGCAAAAGCATAATGCAACCATATGAACAAACACTCAGTCAGAAAGTATTGGGACTGCGTTGTGTTTTCAGAACAATAAGAAAAAAGGGGGTTAAAGTGCTGACTTTGTGCTTTAAGGGGGTTTGTAGGTCCTCACATCCATATTAGGTGAACAATGTAGGACTCATAGCCCTGTGCTTACACAATCCCACAATGATCAAATTGTCAGGCGGGACATCGATCCTAAACACACAGACAAGGCCACCAAGGAGTCTTTTTATGGCCAGGAAGTGGCCGGTGTATACTTGGCCGAGTCGGCCGCTCGACCTCAGTCCAACCTATCATGAGTTTCATTTGATGAAGACCAGACTGACACGGAAAATCCCCTGTAGCAGGAAGAAGTGATGATGGCTGCAGCACAGCATTGGCAGAGCGTCAACAGGCAGGATACTGCTGTCTGCTGATGTCTGTGGGTCACAGACTTGAGCTATCATTTACTTGCTGCTAAGTATTACACAATATTACTTTATTTAGATTTATGTTAGCTTTCTATTCCCTAAATTAGGAAGACCACTTGTGAAGGGCTACAATTCAGGTACACTTTTAATGTGTCACCTTCAATTCAACCTGAGAGAACTACTTTTTGCCCTCTTGTGGGCAGAAACACAACAGTGACATATTGTGCACCATTGAAATTGATATGAAGAACTTGATAGCAAACAGTTGTTTATTTACACATCCAGCAGTTATGTTATTATCATCGATTTGGAGTCGTGTCTCTGGCTACTTGACAAATATAAGTTGAATAATTGCTCTTCTTTTTGCTCTATTTTTGTTTTCTACCAACTGAGGGTAACATCTGGCTCTTTAGCAGCTGAAGGCTCCACTATGTTCACCTTCTAGGCTCTAAGTGTGGCTGTCTGCTGTTTGGTTGTGGGGAGGTAGTGTCAGTTTTTAGAGCCTTTTTTGCTGAAAACAGCTGCCTTCTCTGAGTGAAAACAACACAGCAGCAGTTAGAGTGAATCAAAATAAAATTGGAGCCTAAAAACCAAAACAACTGAAAGACGCTATAACGCTCCGTAGCTGTAACTATGAACAACTCCTTTTACATTCCACATTGTCATTTGATCCATTGTTGACATAAAAAGATTTTTTATAGCAGCTTTAAAGTTGAGTTTACATTAAGCCAGGACATTAACCTCATGTGTTTAATTTAGTGTGCTGGAGAACAGCACGATGAAAAATGTGTCTCTGTCCTAATACTTTCTGCTCTGGATATCTAGACTGGTAATAGTATTGTCACTCAGCCTCACTGGGGAGGTAATGAAAATCCAATAATGTGAATGTTTAGCTGAGACTACACTTTCATTGTCTCTGGTATATTTAATTTAAAGGATGTATCGAATTTCATGCTCATTCTTGTGATGGTAATAGGAGAAATAATTACTGACAAAGGTTAGACACACAATAAGAACAATTTTAAAGGAGGTGAAATTCTATACGACCACACTGACGACATGTTTCAGCGTCTCTTTTTTATCCATCCAATACATGATGAAAGATCCTTGTGAAAGAATATGGCCTTCATGATTAAGCAGAGTTGCCTGGCACTTCCAGCATGGATTACCCATGAACATCATGTGACTCATTGTTTCCGCAGTTTGGTTGCTCTGGTTTTTTTTTAATTTTTGGTTTTGTTTTACACAACCAAAACATTCAGCCGACAGTGCACTGAGGAAGTGAGGGGGAGAGTGCCACTGCTCATAGTTGTGACCTTAAACTGGCACAGACGCAAGTCTGAATGGATCCAATGCATTAGCAAGCAACACAAAGCTTCCTATACATAATACAGCTAATGGACAATTTGGTTGGACGATTGCAGGAGGAGATTAACGCAGTGAAAATACTTTTTTGGGGCACATTTTTAGAGAACAGTCAAACTGATGCCTCTCATCTTTCAACAGCAGCAATGCAGTTATGTTTAAAAAAGCTCTCTATATATGAAGTGTAAAGACGGTATTGTTCTGTAACAGCATATTGAGTGATAATGTGATTTATTTAGTTTCAGTGTGCTCTCAAGCTGTTGTAACATTAATCTTCACTTGTAACCTATTAGTAAAATCAACTGTTATATAACATAATATGTCTTTACACTAAGTGCTATAAATGTAAGGTGAAGCATCATAAATCTTTAAAAAAAAAAAAAAAAAAAAAGGTTCCTGTTTCCTGACTGGACTGTCTAACTTTGTATCACCATCACTGTAAGAAGAGCATTTATAATTGTTTTCTGCAGTGTGGTCACTGAATGAATGAATATATGTACCGTAATGCCTTATTCAGCATTATGAACTTGTTTTGTAGAGAAAAGTGTTCGATCTTTAAGTGTTTTCACATCTTGTGTTTCAGCAGTTACAGTATATAACGTATCTTATTGTATAGGTGTAATAACAACGTTTGTCTTTTGAAAACAACTGTCATATAGAATAGCATAAGTTGTATCTTACAAGTGCTTTTAATTTGAAATATTGTTGTAAATAACTTTCAGTTTTAATCCAATATTTTCTTTTTTTGTAGTTGTTACATTTGTTGTTAACATTTATACTCTTTGTAAATGCCAGTGAGGCCTCGTGGGAATTAGACATTTGTTCAAGAATGGATTACTGATCGGGGGATGTTGATTGGGGGGGGGGGGGGGGACTGGTTTGTTTGACCTAGAGTCCCCAGGCCCCAGGGACAAATATGACACATCTGAAGTGTGTGTAAAAAAAGTGTGGGAATAAATGAAAGCACAATAAGAAATAAGTCAGGGATGATACCAGATGATGGTATCATTGTTTTACAATGTATCACTTAAAGAATAAGGCAGGTGATATTCTATATTTTTGTTATTGTCAACAAAGACCAAGAACAACAATGCATTAGTCCGTCTGTGACTTTCAGTCCCATGACTATTGATTCCTCCCAAAGATAAAAAAAAAAAGTTACTTTCATTTAAAAAATATTTTCTGAAAATAGCTGGGCATTGTAGTTTTTAAGCACATTGTAGTCAAACAGGAGTAAATCATGCATTTCTTCAATTTCCAGCGGTGTATAGTTTAAACTACAGTTTAAACTACAGTTCCCACATTGAAGGTAATGAAGGAAAATGTCATCCAGTGACTGATGTGTTTTTAATTGGTTTGGACAACAATGAAGCTGGGACACAGAGGAACAAGTTATATTGGGATTTGGCTTATTTTCAGCATCTCCCACAGATTCATTGTTGGTTTTTGTCTTTTCACACAATTTGTTGACAATAAGGCAAATATAGCATCACCAGCTTTATCCTTAAACTGTCTAAAAGTGACACAGGCCCAAAGCCCTGGTTGATTATCATGTTCATCACAGTTTCTGTACACTCATCTTGGAGAAAATGATCGAAATAAACCACTGTACTATCTTTTTAAGAGAAATCAGATTCTCATTGAATGCCTGTCACACTGGAGTGCAGTTCGAGTACAAACAGTTATGACAGGTCAACACCCACTAACACTTAAAGAAGACATGCCAGTGAAACCCACAGTAGATGTGTTGGAAATAACTTCTCTTGGCTGTTTTTGGTCGATGGATTATATGTTCACCTGGTCTTCCATTGAAGTTCTTGCACACATTAAAGGGCTGAAATCATTCTCTGCTGAAAGACTGATGATGTCTCACAGAATAGAAACCTTGATTAGAAGGCATCGGTCACCCACGTTTCTCTTTCAGACTCCTGTGGATGTTGAAAGATATCACTGAAATGACTGAAAAGAAGCTTCCATTCAAGATATCATAGAGCTCCCAGCAAGAGAGCAGACAGATCCCAGAGGGGGTGCAGGGCTCATTGTAGATTTCCTCTGTGCCACAGAGCATACAGTAAGATCCCTATGAAATATACATGGCTCTGCCTACACGTTGCATGTGTAAAAAAACAAATGAAAAAGCAACAAAATGAATAATTTTGTCAACCACCATGAACTGGCTCCTGATTTTACTAGACTGCAAGTTGGCCTTTTTAGAATGTGCCAACACAAACAGCTTTGTTCTGCATTTTGAAATTTGTTTTCTTTTGGAGCTTGCATGCAACAGGCATTAAAAAAAATAATAATTTGCTATCTATCGAACGTGTACAGTTACACACCAGAGACCATAATGAGACATAGATAATTAAATACTTTCATTTTAGAATCAGAATCAGAAATACTTTATTGATCCCAGGGCGGGGGGGGGGAATTTGACCCTAACTAATGGTTGCTCATGCACTCAAACAAATTAACAGAACTGAAGCATTCATAACAGCTCTCAGTATTTCCTTTCTATTACTAAAAGCTCAGAGCCTTCAATGGTTTTCAAAAGGCATCCAAGATTTTGTTTTCTGCTTCTTATTGACCTTGTCATGTGACAGCCTCTGCTCATTTGTGTGTGAGGGAGACTTAATGAAGAGATTTTCTGTACGTGAGTGAGGGAGCAGTCTTACTCCTCAGTTCACTGTGAAGACAGATATGTTGCTCGGTCTGATGGAACACTATTATGTTGTTTGGCCGCTTGGATAAAAACACGTCGGCTCCATTACACTACAATATTGCAGCCATATAAATCTTTCACCATAACAGTCGGCGTCGCGACAGTCACCTACATACTGTAAAGGGAGGTTTTACATGTAACACAGCATCTTGGCCGACAGTGCACGGCCTGTCAGTGTTCAGCCAAAACTGTTATTGTGATGATGATTATGCAGAGATTCTGGTAATGGATTTGGCAATTTGGCCTGCTGCTCTGTGTGACAGACGCCTGCCGTAACACAGATAATCAGACCTCCTGGTTGCCTGAGGTGTTTATGAAATGTCAGAAGTGCAAAAAGCTCTGAAGCTGTTTTACTAGATTTTTCACAAAGCGGCAAATACTCGGGTATTCCCTGCTGAGGAGCAGAGGCAGCGATTCAAACTGGGTGCCATCTGCCAGCTGAGAGTCATAAGGGACTGTAAATTATTGTTGTGGTGAGAAGGGACTGAACCTTATATTTCACAAAAAGTAATATAATATAGCTTGTGTAAATCAGCTTAAATCATAATATCTTGATGGAACTTATAATGTGCATCAACACATAGCATTTTTTTCTCAGCAGCAGCGTCTTTTCTAAATGTTTCCCAATGACAGGAGAGCATGCGGACGTATTTGCCATCCTTATTCAGAGTGCTTCGTATTTTTTGTGCGGCCACTTTAAGCTCTTCTAGTTAAAAATCTCAGAACTTTTCAGAAAGCTGCTGGTGTCCTCCCTGTTGCTCCTTTTCAGGGAACAAATAAGATGAAATGGGGGATTTGTCACCCTGATAACCAAGAAATGGAGGAAAAGCTTGTTCTGGACATCTATCCTGAGGCTTTATGATATGTCTGAGAGAAACTTATAACAGAGACAGAAATGAAACAAATGAAAAGAAAAAAACCTATGATGAGAGTTCTCAACCACTTTTACTGTCATTTATGTTCGTGTTATCTTCTCTGTCTCTGTCCTCTGCCTGAGTTCAGGGCTGAGCTCCTACACACACACACACACACACGCACACACACACACACACACACACACACACACACACACACACACACACACACACACACACACACACACACACACACACACACACACACACACACACACACACACACACACACACACACACACACAGACAGAGTTGACGGGTGGTGAAGGGAGCTGATGAAGTGAAGGGAGTTGAGGACAACTCGAGTAAAACGTAGAAAAGGGACATTCATTCCTCCAGTGGGAAAGCAGATTTGCATCTCAGTTATGCGTGAAGTTCAACATTGGTGAACTTTGACCTGCAAAGTCGCAGCCTCAACCAACTGCAAACGTGTGTGGTTGACCCCTAAAACAAACTACAAGGCCTCAGCACGTGATGGTCACTCGCCTGCATTCGCGGGTATGTGTGACCATACTACACAATTGAATCTCTGAGGAAACTCTCACTGGTCCAGTTGCATTGTGGGTAATGCAGGTGCCAAGTCTCGGTAAGGAAGAAGAATGTGTGGAATAATAAAAAACAATATCTCTGATGAGTTCGACAATGTTATAGGAGTGCACCTTTATGAAACATGGTACTGGTGAAAATGGTCTTTTTGATTATTATTATATAATATTAACTACAATTTCAATAACAATAAACAAACATTAAAGGGATGAGTCATACGCTATGATGCTTCATTACCAGGGTTTGATGCCCGTTGTCATCTGGTCAATATAACGGATAAACATATGTCAGAACAAGAAATCAAGGGCTTCCTACAAGTCACTGCACAGCTGTTGGTCCTCCACTGCAGGGCAGCCCACTGGATGAGGAGTCCAATCTATCAACGTAATCTCCAGTAATCACAAGTATGGTCCACAGGCCATGGAGTACCAGCAGCTTAACAGCAGGAAATTAGCTAATAATACCCTATTTGGTTTCCTGTGCACATGCTCACAGAAATACACGTTTTCTCAGCATAAACCATTCTCCTATTAGAGCTTCCAAAACATTAGAGTATTAGAGTACAAAAGAGTATTTGATACATGTAGTACTCCATACATCATTTCACGCATTAGTAAAAGCCAGGGGCATTTGTTGTTTGTTGTTTTGCTTCAACCACTGGACAGCAGCAACTGCTTTATGTCAAATTTAACACAGGAAGGGTGACAGCATTGATATGAATAATGTGCTGGTTTGAAGATAATGTTTTTCAAATATTGCCAAAGGGTTTGTAATGTTATCTTAAGGTACAGGTATATAACCTGTATATGTATATAGTGAAAAGAAGTGTGGATTCAATGCTTTCTCACACAAATACACAGACAAGCTGTAATTTGAGGGCAGCAATGATAGAAAATTGCAAATAGATGTTAAGTGTTTTGTGGGTAGCATGTTGTGTTTGAAGCTACTTTTCCTTTCAATCGCTGTCATCTTTTTTGTTCTGCATCTTCACTTCCCACATACACTTGTGTGTAACGTATTTCATCCAAAATGTGTGGTTTCTCTGTGTGTTTGTGTGCTAGAACCAGAGTAGGAAGGGAATGATCTGGACAACAGTTTCCTGCTGCGCCATATTCAACAGGTTCCTACAACGATGGATCACTTGATGAAAGCAACCCAGAGTAAAGCCAATCTAAAGCATTCTAATCATCACAAAACGTTGGATTTCTTGATTAAGATGTACTTGAGAAACAGCACTCAGCACAATTTGAAATGACGAGTTAATTAAGAAAGCAGCAGGGTGACTCAAGGGCTGCCACATCCCAATCAAGGCAGAGCTAAAAGATGCAAAATTTGCTCTATTGTAAGGTTTCAGTTTTAGTAGTACGATGTTTATGAATGCATCACGCAGACTGTAAGGAGCCCGTTACAGATGTGCAGTGTAAAGCACGTGCCAAGACAGTGTCACCGAAACAAAAGCTTATGAAAGCCTGTACAGCTATGATTGGTGCAGCCAATTGCTGTGATTAATTTGGCTGCCTCCATTATTAGAGTGAATGTGTGCCGATGCAGGTGCCTGAGACTCCTCGGTCTCTTCTGTGATTAGTTCTACGAGAGGAAGATTAGAACCCACATACACTATGAAAAATCCAGTTACACTTTTTACGAGTGAAAGGAATTAATCACAGGATGCCATTGCCGAGTCCCTCTATGAACATTCCTCTTTGTGCTGGAAATGTAGGAGAAGGTTTCTGGGTTTTAGAGCATTATCAGCCTTTGAATGCGCCCCCATGTTGAAAGCGGTTAACAGAATGTCAAAGACGGATGGTTTTAACAGCCTACCCAAACCTCACAGCTTAAAGTCTTTAAAAGAACTGAGATTTATTGTTTTGGAGGTCTGAAGTTGAGGAACGAAAGCACAGAGATGCAGCAATTACATTTAGAAAAGTGAAAGAAATTCAATGTGGTCTGGAAGTTTCATAAAAATGTCTCCTAAATGAAATGTTAAATTCAGGCACAGTGGGTGATGACTAAAATAATCAGAGCATGTCCAAAGACCACTTAATCAGCGTCGTAATAATATGACTGAATATGTCTGCTTGGTGCTTGACAGTGTAACAACTCATCAATGAACCAAGGCAACATTTCAGCAGAGAAAATTTTGTATCTGAAAAATAGTAAAGGGTTTGACCCATCAGAGAAAGTGTCTAAAATTGCAGTCCCACTTCAGTGGGAAACAGTAGCTGCCAAAACAGACATAATTTTCATCAAAGTACAAACAGAAAATTCTTACGAAATAATAACAGTGTAGACTAACAATTCTTTACATTACTGTCTCTATGGTACCTGTAACCCTTTATGTTCTTTTTGAATATTTGTGAAAAACATTAATACTAGACATGCATTTCTTTTAATGGCCAGAAGCATTTCAAATTATGTTGTCTACTACAAAAACAATCATCACTCTCACA